CCGGGCCGCTTCCCTGTCCCTTCTGCAGAACGGGCGGGTTTAGCAGACAGTAAAAATTCCCGTAAATCGTGGAGGATGATGCGGGTTCCGTTCCTTTAAATGGAATTGAGAAATCGGGTGAAAAAGAGGAAATCTGACAGCCGTGTAAAAACCCCTCCTTGCAGCACAGCGCGGGGAGAGCCGGAGCTGGCTGGAGGTGTGTCTTTCTCTGACCTTTTTTTGGGTGTAGGTGGCATTGACACGAGTGGCTGTAGCTGCACAGTGTGGGTATGTGTGAGGTGGTCGCCAGGGACCTTCTCTGCGATGGCTCCTCTGGAAATGTCAGTTTGGTTTGAAAACCAAAGGAATCGTGTCCATCCCTGCTCCCCAGGCTCTGCTTGGGCCAAGGGTGGAGCCAAGGTGACTTCATGTTAGGTCAGTGGTTGGACTTGATGATCTTAAAGGTCTCTCCCAAGCAAAATGACTGGATGGTTCTATGTTCAGATCATGGTTTTCTATGTAGAGTTTGGCTTTTGCCCAAACTGGCCTCCTTTGCAAGCTGGATAGGAGAAGCATTTCAGTTGCTTTGGGTTTGTCATAGAGCTGGTTGATCCCACTGGAAACAGGGATGGGGAGTTGGTGGTGAGCTGCTCTCAAGGGGAATTGATGCTGATTGATGTCAAGGAAATGTTTCCCTGTGGACAAAGCGAGAAGTGTTCCTGCTGGCTGAGGAGGAAGTGCTCATGAGACGGTCATGGGATGAAGTGCTGTGCTCCAGATCATGTTTTCCACTGGTGGGCAGTGGGGTGCAGCCTGAGCAGGGTCCTCCCCTGGGAGTTGGGAGCAGGGCCAGCTTCAGCTTTGGGTTGAGGTGAATTCAGGGGCACGCATCACGTCTCAGGGCGTCCAGAGGGAGTTTGGTAAGAGTAAAACTGAGACATGGGAGTGGTGGCACTGGACGTTTTCCACACCTGGTGACCCTCCAGCCTCATCTAACGTGGTTTGGGTTATTGCTGATGAGGAGATTACATTGCAACAGTTCAGAGTGTTTGTTGGCCTGTGAACACCCCCCTGCTGGCAGTGCAGGCAGCATGGGGTGAGCGTGCCAAGCGTGGGCAGGCTGAGGAGGCTTCACCAGCCTCACTGCCCGGCTGCTGGTGGAATTCCTGACCCTTCCCAGTACCACCAGTGCCTGTTCCCCCTGCCCTGTGGTGGCACCAGACCCGGGGCTGGCGTCTCGCCTGCGGTGGGCACGGCTCCACTTGCTCATCTTCCCCTCCCAGGGTGGGTGATTAAGAGTCACTCTGGAGCACTGGTGACCCTGATAGAGCTTTGACTCAGTGGGGCTTTTGTCGAGTCCTGCTGGGCCCTGGCTGGGACACTGGTGTCCTTGGAGGGAGGCAGGAGGGTCTGCTGTGTTTCCACACCTTTGGCACTGGGCTGGGAGCAGAGGGATGAATTCGGGGCACACGGTCCCTCGGAAGCTGTGTGTGGTGCTAATGCTTGAGCTGCTGATGTTTCAGACATGAGCTGACTGGCTGTGACCTTCTATCAGGTGTCAATCCTCCAGATAAAGCAGGATAACCTAGGAGGAGGAGGAGTTTGGCTAAGGTGAAGTTCAACCTTTTGTGCTATAGTGCACTGACCTTTTCTCAGGAGACAGGAGAGGTGTTAGAAGGCTTCCAAAAACCACAACGTGCTGTAGAAGCTCTGCTGATCAGATTTGGAGCACAAGAGTTGCTTGTTTTGTGGAGCCCAGGCTTTCAGGTGGGCTGTTTCAGGGTTAAAAAAACCAAAGCAAGCCAGCCTTGAAGTTGAGTGTTGATATTAAGGTCTCCATTTGTTGGACATAAACTACAGTGGCACTTTCTTTATCACAAATTAGAGACACTGCTATCCCTGCTTCTTAAAGATCTTGCAACTGGGTGTTTTTCTTGGCTTAAAACGTCAGCTCAGTGTTGTGTTGGTGTTTCTGGTGGCATTCAGGTGTCCCTGGATGTAGGTGTGCAGTGGATTTCTGTGACAGATGAGGAGACAGCAATACCCTGTGTCTTAAAGCTCCCTCAGCTGCTTTGCAAGTAGCAGCAAAAATACCTGGCCATGCAATTCCACCCCTAATCCTGCTGGGGAGTTCACAATGGACACAGAAATGGTCCAGAGCTGAGCCCACAATCTGTAGACCCGAGACTGGTGGGGGGAGTGAAGCTTGGAGAGCTTCTGGTCTGAGGCAGGGCCTGACTTGTGGCTTGTTTTCTTTCAGCCTACAGAACCGTGTCGGGTGTGAATGGTCCCCTGGTTATCTTGGATCAAGTTAAGGTAAAGATTCAGATTCTTAATGAAGCTTTTCGAGGGAGAGTTTACCAAAAAATGCAAGGTGGGTTAAATCCAGACTGTTGTGAAGTTCTTGGACTCACTGAGCAATTTTAATACAAGGTCTGTTTCTGGCTGCTGAGATAAATGGGAATTCACAACTCCCTGTCTGGCTAAGAGTTCTCCATGCCCTGGGAGAAAGGGGGAGTGACTGAGGCTGTTGGGGGAGAGGAAGAAAACAATATTTCAGTTTTACCAAAGTCCCCCAAATGTTGTGTAAACACGAGTAGATAAATGGGAATGCACAACTCCCTGTCTGGCTAAGAAGAGTTCTCCATGCCCTGGGAGAAAGGGGGAGTGACTGAGGCTGTTGGGGGAGAGGAAGAAAACAATATTTCAGTTTTACCAAAGTCCCCCAAATGTTGTGTAAACACGAGTGTGGGAAACATCCCAATTCCCTTTGTTCCTGGGGCTCTGGGAAGGGAACTGTGACCAGCTTTGACTTGTTTCCAAACTGCTGGCGAGGTGCTGCTGAAGATAAACAACTGATCCTGTGTACAGGCAGAAGCTGGGTGTTGGTTTTTAAGTGAGACAATGCACTCTGGCTTTCCATTTGTGTTTCAGGACTACTTGGGTTTTCTAGAACAGGTTCTGGGCTTTCTGCAGCTCGGAGCAAATGTTGTATAGCCCCTGTAAAAATGGCTTTAGCCTGATAAATTTGAATCGCCTTGGGATGAGTTTTGTTCTGATAAATCTAAAAATGGTGTAGCTGCTAAAGCCTCAGCTTGTTGGAACTGTTCAGTTTTGTTTCATGACTCTTCTGGATTTTAATGCTTTTGCCATGGTGTTTCTGGCTCCTCTCCAGTTTCCCAGGTACGCAGAGATTGTCCACCTGACTCTTCCTGATGGCACGAGAAGAAGTGGGCAGGTTCTGGAAGTCAGTGGCTCCAAAGCTGTGGTCCAGGTAGGACTAGGGACAGGAGCAACTCTTGTTGCAAAAGAATAACACCTCATGAAATAATCAGCGTGTGTCTGAGCCACATCAGATCTATGTTGGGCTATGTTCCTTTGGCACTGTAAATTAAGAAGGAGAAAAAAAATCACCTACTTACCCCAAGTGCACATGGCATGAATAATTTTAGAAGCTTGAAAGCTGTAAAGCTGGACTAAAGTGATCTTTTTTTTTCATTTTAGTGACTTTTTTATTTGCATCCCCCCCTAGATTTCTTTGCTAGATTAAAAGAATCATGCTGTAATTGCACAGTATTAGAGTCAAGATGAACTCCTGTGCACGTTTCCTCTAAGCAGCTGTTTTATGGTAATCAGAATTCTTATCTGAAGAACTTCACCCCGCTGGCAAAGGGAAATACTTGAGATCAAAGAGATGGCACTGGGTTTGTTGGTTGCTGCTGATACACTTCATGGATTTTGTTGAAAGTACTTTCTTTTTATGTGATGTTTTGTACCAGGGACCTGCTCTCAAAATCCTTTGCTCACAGAGGGCAGCCTTGCTTCTCTGCCCTTCAGGTTCTGAAGCTGTGTAGCAGTATTCTGGGGTGTTGTTTTGTAAAGCACAAGACTCATTCCTTTCTCCTCACTCCTGTATTTTTTTTTTCTGATATATTTATAGGTATTTGAAGGAACTTCAGGTATTGATGCTAAGAAAACCTCTTGTGAGTTTACTGGGGACATTCTTCGAACCCCAGTCTCTGAGGATATGCTTGGTGAGTCCTTGCATCTTGCTTTGAAGAATGAAAAGATTTATCACATGCTAACTTATTTTCACAGTAATTTACATTTTGATTTTATTGCTCTTTCTTGTAGGCAGAGTATTTAATGGATCAGGAAAACCTATAGACAGAGGCCCCATTGTTTTGGCTGAAGATTTCCTTGACATAATGGGTATGTGGTTAATCCATTTCTGTTAGGGAGTTAAAGACAAATCTGGTGTTTCTGGTTTCTAAATGTTACAGCAGATTTGGTTTTGAGCATGGGATCTTGCTGTTATGGGCAGTTTAATCTTATTTTTAAATATGTGTGTGGTAGTTTGATGAAGCTTCAGATGTGTCTGTGGAATAACTTGTGTTCTCTTAAAACATACAACAGGTCAGCCAATCAATCCTCAGTGTCGTATCTATCCAGAAGAAATGATTCAGACTGGCATTTCTGCTATAGATGGGATGAACAGCATTGCCAGGGGACAGAAAATTCCCATATTCTCAGCTGCTGGCTTGCCCCACAATGAGGTGAGCACTCAGAGTTACTCTGAACAGTTAGTGGCTTGCGTTTCACTGAGGTTAGAAAGTAAACTAAGTTAAATTCTCATCTCCACAATAGAGTCAAATCCACAGGTGGACTGAAGCATTTTTCCCTTAGATTGCAGCTCAGATCTGTCGCCAGGCTGGCTTAGTGAAGAAATCTAAAGATGTGATGGACTACACTGAAGAAAACTTTGCCATCGTGTTTGCTGCTATGGGTGTAAGTCGCTATTGTCAGAGGAAAATAATGCTTGAGTAATAAGTAAGACAATGCTGAGAGTAGCTGAAGTATTCTAAGGAGGTCTTAAGTACATAACTAAACAGCCCTAAACTGGCTGGCTGAAAACCCCAAATGGCCAGAAGTGCTGTGACAAAATATGTCTGATCAGGATAAAGTATCTTAAACTTAATCTCTAACCTGGAATTCTAGAAATAGCTCCTGCTGGGAATGTAGGGGAGGCTTCACAATGCAGAGACCTTTGTGTATGGGTTATTAATGAGGCACTGACACCTTGTTGTGATGCAACCTGTAGTAACCTAAAACCTGGAACTGATGCCTTAATACTGTAATTTAGGTGAACATGGAAACTGCTCGGTTCTTCAAATCAGACTTTGAGGAGAACGGGTCCATGGACAATGTGTGTCTGTTCCTCAATTTGGCCAATGATCCCACGTAAGTACTTCCACTGTGTTGACTGGGAGAAGGCTGAGAAGAACAGAGTAAACTGGAAGCTGAAGCCTCACTGGTGTGCTGCCAGGTGTCACTTGTGTTGGTATTTTGCAGCAGAGCAGAGCATGAAATGCTGCTGCTCCCGCTGCCGCACGTAGCGGGTTTGAAGATGGTTTTAAACTCTTTGCAGCTTCAGACTGTGGCCTTGCAGCCTGAGAGCACTTGTCAATAACACCACACTGTTCCATTTCAGCATCGAACGCATCATCACCCCACGTCTGGCTCTGACCACAGCAGAGTTCTTGGCCTACCAGTGTGAGAAGCACGTGCTGGTGATCCTGACAGACATGAGCTCCTACGCCGAAGCGCTGCGGGAGGTACGCGTGTCGGCACGGGGGCTTCTGCTGTCACCTGGGGGAAGAGGTGCTTCAGGTGGCTAGTGCAGCTTCCTGAGGGGAGATGGCCAGTCTGTATGAGTGACCTGACTTCTTGGAAACGTTTCTGTGGGTTGCTCCAGGTCTCAGCAGCCCGAGAGGAGGTGCCTGGCCGCCGTGGCTTCCCGGGCTACATGTACACGGACTTGGCTACTATATACGAGCGTGCCGGGCGTGTGGAAGGCAGAAATGGTTCCATCACTCAGATTCCTATTCTGACCATGCCCAACGATGGTGAGTGATTATTTCAAGTGTTTTTAATACATAGCACTTTAAAGGACTGCTTTAGGCAAGCTGCCTTTTGGACACAAGGCAAGACAGAAGGCCCCATGGTCTTTAGGTTTCCCTTTGAATATTGTGCTTCTTGGCTGCCTTCTCTGTTGCTATTGCCAGGAGGAATGCTTTGTCCTTTTCAGACTTCAGGGCTGTTCCCCAGCCCTCTCTCAGGAGTGCTTGCAGCTCTCATCCTTGCATAAGAGAGTGTAGTCATATGTGGGGGTACTAGCTGGTGGCATTTTACTTCAGAAGTTGTTTAGCTGCAAAAATGGGTATAAAAGGCCTGAAAACTGTCAAACCATTTTTCCCCCACAGATATCACTCATCCTATCCCTGACTTGACTGGATACATCACTGAGGGACAAATCTACGTGGACAGGCAGCTGCACAACAGGCAGGTGGGTGCCACATGGGGCAGAACTTATTTAAGGTTACTCTGTACTCGTTGAATTATTTATGCTGAAATCCATGGATATTTTTTTTCCTCCAGGTTTACCCCCCTATTAATGTCTTGCCCTCCTTGTCTCGACTGATGAAGTCAGCTATTGGAGAGGGTATGACCAGGAAGGATCATGCAGATGTGTCCAACCAGCTGGTATGTAAAAACCTCTGGGGAGAAGCAGAGGCATATTTCCAATACACCTTTACTAAGCAGCCTGTGAAGGGCACGTGGAACAGTTGGGATCCAGAACAGTCCTGAGGCTGCTTTAAAGCACTGACAGAGTGTTCAGTACCACTTTTTGTTGGGGTCTGACCAGGAGCTGTTACCTGGATGGTGAAGGTGACAGCAGTTCTGTTTCTGCCCCTCCAGTATGCCTGCTATGCTATTGGGAAGGATGTCCAGGCTATGAAGGCTGTCGTGGGTGAGGAAGCCCTCACTTCAGATGATCTTCTTTACCTGGAGTTCCTGCAGAAGTTTGAGAAGAACTTCATAGCTCAGGGTAAGTGTCTGCGTTGAGGACAAGCCTGCAGGAACACCTAGAAGGTCCTCAGATCTGCCTGGTGGTGAGGCCCTGGGCACTCAGCCTGTGGTTGCCTTGGCAGGTCCCTATGAAAACCGCACGGTGTATGAGACCTTGGACATCGGGTGGCAGCTCCTGAGGATCTTCCCCAAGGAGATGCTGAAGAGGATTCCTCAGACAACACTGGCTGAGTTCTACCCTCGAGACTCGACTGCAAAACACTAGCCACAGCTTCCTCTCTTAACTCCTTGCTCTGTCAAATGCTGTTTGTTTTCCTTTTTCATGTGTTGGTGTTTACTTGTTGCCCTTACAATTAAAACCAGGAATAGTTGACACTTGTGCCAGTGTTCCAATGTACACTGATACCAGTTTTTAAAATATCCCTTCTTCCAAAGCCTGGATCTTCAGGAAAATATTGAGGCCAGCTCTTATAAATGTGCAATAGCTGTCACAAAGCTTGGTTTTTGTTCTTTTTTTTTGAACTGGACCTTTTGTAAAGCATTTCAAGGGAGAGTATCTGAGGCTTACCAGAAATTATTGCAAATCTTTGCTTTCAGATGGGGAGCACGTGGTTTAGAAAACATGAAAGAGCAGATGTGACTTTCTTTGTCCAGAGCATCTGCTGGGTCTGGTCCCAGGGAGTTCTGTGCTGCTGGTGGAACAGATGGCACGTGGCTGGCCTGCTGCTGTGCCTGCACACCAGGCTGAGCTCTGGCAAGCGTGGCACATGACAAGTTACCTGCCTGGAAAATGCAAGTCACTCCAAAATTATTAACTGTGGTTTAGGATTCTTAAAGCTCTGGCTGAACTGAGGACACTAGTAGGGGCTTTTCCACTAGCAAAGGGGCTTTTCAGAAGTCACAGGCCAGTGGGTTGCTACATGAAGGTAGCATGAAGCTTAATTATTGAATTAAAGGTTTAGATTGAAGTTTGGAGAGGAAGTTTCCCACTTAACTTTTTTATTTTTTCTTTGAATTCTGGAAATGCCAGACACAGCCCAGCAGCTAAAGCATTCTGAGATCAGTAGTGTCCCAAGGGGCAGAACTGGAGGTGATTCAAGGCTTTGTGCTGCTACTGATGGGGATTATATGAGATGTGAAAAAAAAACCAACCAAACCCTCTTACACCTGACCCAGTTGTCCTGGGGCAAGGTCAGCCTTTGAAGGGTGTTCTTGTACAACAGAAGAAAGCAAGTGATGTGTGAATGGATATTTTGAACTCTGCTATAAAGCTGTGCTCTGGGTGACACTGGGGCCTGTTGGAGACTGGTGTGGTTTGCACTCCAGGCAGAGATTTGGCCAACCAGGAGAGCTGGGTGTTCCTGGGCACTGCCAGCTTGGCTGGGCAACTCCCTGGGGGGTTTTCCAGCTCGGTTCTGACGAGGCTCTGAGCCCAGTGCTGGCAGGCTTGCTTGCTTCTTTCTCAAGCTTAATGTACTCCAAGCTCTGGTCTAGCTAACCAAAGCATGTTGCACCTCACGAGCACCTTGGGTGCTCCTCTGGGAGGGTGCTGAGGTGACTCGTGTGCCAGCTCCAGCTTCCCCCACGTCTCCTCTGTGCCGTTCTCTCTATGGTTTGTTCAGTGTTCTCTGTAATTTGGACTCAATAGCAACTTTATTCCAGTGCATTCCACTCTAAAGCTGTGTCAAGTCTATTTTTCTTGAGGTAAGGATGGGAGGTTGGAAGTGTTGGCATGAGAATACTTTAATGTAGAGTATAAATAAATTAAATATGGAAGGTGTTGAACAAAACGGAAGCTCTTGTGATTCTGTGGTTGAAAACCTGTGGTGGTGAAGTGGCTGAGGTGTCCTTTGCCCCTGGGGACCCTGTTTGGAAGAACAAAACTACTTCATAACGTGCTGAAAACACTTTTCTATTCCTAAGTGTGCAGCAAGAGCCTCTTGAGCCACCCTGATGTTATTAACTGGAGCTGGTTGCTTTTGCTGGTCAGGATTTGTCCTCCAGCTTCAGGACCGAGTGCCCCGTGCTGGTGGAGTGGGTGCTGGGTGCAGTCATGGGAAGGGCTTTGCAGGAAGGCTGGGGGTAACAGTGCCACTGTTTCCACGTGCCTCTGAGGGGTAGTTGGCTCCAGAGGAGGCTCAGAAACCTTAAGAGGCTTCTTGAAAATGAGCTCAGATATCTGTTGGGTTTTAATGCTCCTCACCTGCTAAGGGTGGGGGGAGCTGGGTGGGTTTGTTCAGGTCTTCCATGTGCCTCTGAGGGGTAGTTGGCTCTAGAGGAGGCTCAGAAACCTTAAGAGTCTTCTTGAAAATGAGCTCAGGTATCTGTTGGGTTTAAATGCTCCTCACCTGCTAAGGTTGGGGGGGAGCTGGGTGGGTTTGTTCAGGTATCCTGCACAGCCAGCTTGGGGCATGACTCTGCTCAAACCCCCCATGTCAGTCCTGCTCCATGAATTGACTGTGTCAGAGTTTTCCCTGCTCTGGGTGTGCAGCATTGGGGCTGGAGAAGCTGAGAGACAGAGAAGCGTGAAGCCAGGAGATCCAGGGTTCTTCCTGGTCTACTCCAGAGACTGGAGTAAACCCAGACACCTTGTGCTGAACAACATGCACATCAAACCCAGCCCCTTAACGAGGGCACCTTTGTGCTGGTGTTGCTGTTGGTCTCTGAAGGTGCTGAGCTGCACCCACACCAACACCTCCTTGGAACCACCATTTGTTCAGGCTGATGAAAGCCTGAGGCTGTCTCAGGTCTTCTTTTAAATGTTGTGCTCTGCTATAATTTGTGCTCTTTCTTTTACAGAAGTCCTTGAGTGAAGGACTTTAGTAAAGACATTAGCTAATTTTTTTTATTTTATTTTTCTTTTTAGAAAAAAAACCCAACCAACCTCATGTAAATGTCCAGGCTGGGTCCTGCAGTCTGTTTCTCACCAGCTGAGACAGTAGGTCACAAACTCCATACCCTCGTTACTCATAAGGGCTTTGATTGTCCCACAGAGCTTTAAAGACTTGATTTAATGTGCTGGCAGGAGGATCTAGTACCCTAAAAACATATCTGATGGCTTAAAAAAAGTTGCAATGAGTGCTTTTGAGTTTTTCTACTCATTTACCCCCCCCAGTCCCAGCCCCTCTGCCTTGAGGGTGACCCTGTGGTTAGGGCACAGGGATAACTTCAAGAGCAGATGCCCAAGTCCAGTGAATTCCTGAAATCCTTCAGCAGGTGATGTGGTTTGGGGACAAAGGTTGACCAAGCACTCCTGAGGGTGGGTGAGTGTGGAGTGAGGAGATTCCTGCAAGTGTCCCTGTGGGGATAACAGCTCCTGGTGTGTGTTACAGGGCAAAGCAAGAGGCAGCAGGAGAATATCCACAATTAAGTGTGACTAATTTGCAGCTCTGGGGAGCCAAGGGGAAGGAATGAGTTGATCCTGTGGCTCAGGGCAGGCTCTGAAGCACAGTGACAGCATGGCTCATCCAGGGCAGACAGGTTTGGGAGGAGTATGAAGAGTGTGGTGGCTTTGTGCTGGGGATCAATCCTGCAGCGTGTGCCAGGAGAGCCTGGCTGTGGCACCATCCGGCTGCAGTTGAGGCTGTTTGAGGTCCTGGCTCACCTGGAAAGAACATTTTTTCAAGGAAACATTCAGACAGTGGTGCAAGAACCACTCCAGGGGTTCTCTGACCTGCTGGGAGCACCACACGTGTGGTGATGCTGCTCCCCTGGCACTGACCACAGATGGGCTCAGGTCTTGAGTGCTGCTTGGGGGCCCAGGCTGTAAGGGCAAGGGAGGAGGTTGATTATCAGCACAAAACCAGCCTGCTGAGGCTCTCCAGCTCTTACCTGGGGGAGTTGATTTGAGTTTGCTCGCTGCTGGAGCTCTGGTTTAACGAGGCTCAGTGTCTGGCAGAGGTTTGGTGGCGACATCCAGCTCTGACCTGTCTCTTTCTGCTCCCTGGACTCCTGCACATGAGCCCAGGGTGCCTGTGCCACGCTGCTCCTCACGGCACCAGCTCCTGCTGGGACCACGGGGCACCCCTGAGCCTGCTCTGCTCTGGCTCAGGGCACAAATCTCTGTGTTGCTCCTGGAGAAAACACATCTCCAGACACAGCCTCAGCAGCGAGGTCACCCTGGGCACACAGGCTGGGGTCCCAGCTTGCAGCAGCCCCTGTCCTGCAGCCCAGCTGGGGAGAGCCTGAGCCTGGCCCAGGGCCCTCTGAGAGAGGAATGGCAAAACGAGCTTTAGCTCTGGACACAGCCCCTTGCTGGAAAACAGGTCAGGGAAGCCAAGGGGCACTCGGGTCTGGGGGGAAGGGATGTCCCTCTGTGTGCCATCGGGCTGGGCTGAGCCGTGAGCCACTCACAGCCCCGTGTCCCTGCCCAGGGAGCAGCTCCTGGCACAGACCTGGGCAGGATGCTGAGCAGACAGCCCCGTTTCCCAGCATGGGGACAGCAGGTCCCGAGCTCCCAGCTGCCACCCGGCATGGACACGCTCTCTGCTTGGCTTTTTTTTAGCTTTTTTTCGGTAGTGCCTAATGAGGACTGCCCGGGGCTCTTATCCCCCTTCACCAGCCGATGTCACGGGCCCTGCCAGGAGCACACGCCAGCTGTCGGTGCTCCAGGAGGGGAGGAGAGCAAACACTGGGCACGTCCCCACCCTGCCCCTGGGGTGTTCGGTTGGGGCTGGCAGATGCGAGGCAGGGGAGGCTGCTGGGGGAGCTGCTGAGGGTCATTTGCACATCAAAAGCGGCTCAGCCCCCCAGCACACGGGGGCCTGGCTGTAATTGCTCTTTCAGAGGCAGCCCTGCTCTTGTCTCCGCTGAGATTTTGGGTCTGACTCTGCCCCCCGCAGCCGGAAACGGGAGCAGCGCCACCAGGGCGTCAAAAGAAGATGCAAATGAGCCTTTCTCCCGTCTCGCGGCTAATTTGCATCCGCTGATTAGTTCAACAGCTAATTCAGACTCCTTCTGTTTGAGGGCGGCTGGTGCTGGGGCAGCTGGAGCAGAGCTAGCCCAAAGCCCAGGGGAGGCAGGGGACCTGCTGCTGGGGGGACATGCCCAAGTTCATGGTGCTGCTCCTGCTTTGCCCCCCAGCACCTCAACCAACAGTGCCCCTCGTGCTCAGATGCTCCCTCTGCCCAGGAGCCCTGGTTGGCACCGATGCCATCCTGCTCGGGGGAAGCACTGGGCATCTCCAGGGAGTGGCTTCACCCCGATGTCATCAGGGCTTTCTGCTCCTTCCTGAACATGCCTCCCCCTGGGTGTGAAGCAGGGGGGCTGCAGCAGGGACCCCACTGTCCCCCCCTGCTCAGCCTTCAGAGAATCACAGAATGGGTGAGGCTGGAACAGACCTTAGAGCTCATCTCCTTCCAGCCCTCCTGTCATGCACAGTGACACCCTCCACCAGAGAGGTGGATCCTTGGGAATCTCCCAGCACAGGAGCTGTGTTTGTTTGTGGAGCAGCCCTACAAGGGTCAGGTGATGCCCACTACCCAATTTCTGCTGCTGCCTGAGGCAGAGGATGCTCTGAGCCCTGCCTGGAGG